GTGTGTGTGTGTGTGTGTGCGTACGTGTGTGCGTGTGTGTGTGTGTCCTCATTAGCTGGCGGTGGGGTGTTGACATCCTGAGCGGCTGCCTCTTCAAACACACACTTCCTCCTCACACCGGCAACTTTTCCTGAATGCAGGAAACTGCCCAGAGACAAATGACTGAATGTTGTGTTTTTGATTTAAAGAGAAGGAGGAAAAGAAGCAGAAAGAAGTTATTATTATTATTATTATTATTATTATTATTATCATTCAAACTTGATTTAACCAGATAAAAACCCACTGAGATCAAGACGTCTTTCAATCAAGCAGCAAACGTCAAATTAGACAAACAAGCAGAATTAAGAAAATATATTAGGAATATCTAAAAGTCAATGAATGCCAGCAGTTGTAACAATACTAAAATAAAAAAGTATATTTCAGATATTTTGCAGCAAAGCAGCAGGAAGAATGTGATGCAAATGAGCCACTTTATCCTTATTTTTGAAAGCAGATTTTTCACCAATCAGGCTTTTCTGCTCTCAGCTGCTGATTCTGATTGTTTTATTGTTTGTTTGCAAAGGTTAAGAAAACCAGATGTGAGTAGTTTTCAAATCTAACTTGAACATTTTGTTAAAAACTGTTTAGATTTGTAAAAATGAACTGCATGTTGTCAGGACTGTATGTGTTATAGTTTCAGTTTTAATTTTAATTGTGTTATATACACGTTTCTGTTAAGCAAATTAGCTACAATCTGGTACAGCGCATCAGATTGTGATGTTTATAGTAATAAAGTTTATTATCACTATTACTAAAAAAACATTTTTGCTTTTAATGTGTAATAATTCTTGATTGTTTGTAGTTGCTATTGTCGTTATTTTTAATCTTTGTTTCTGTTCAGGGTCTTGAAAATGACTTTTTAGTCAAATGCTGATTTTTAAAGGAGAAAAGGGAACCAGGCTTCAATCAGAGAAGCTCCTGCTGTTGGATGATGCATTTATTGACTGAAAAGGCTGGGATTTCTTAGCTTTGATGCATGTAACAATTAGCAGAATTTCTGATTTTTCCACTTTTAACACACCAACCACCGATCAGAACTGATCAGAAGGTAAAACTGTCTGATTAATCGGTGCATCTTTACATAAAGAACAAACGTTGCTTCTGAAACCTGCAGGAGTGAAGCTCAGACGAAGCAACGCTGCTGCTGAGACGACGCTCCTGACTCTCAGGAATGCATCAGTGCATCTCGGCGGCCGCAGCCGCGCGTCTCCTCGGGACAAACAGGAAACAGCTGACACGCAGCCCTGCAGCGCAGCTCACATGATGCATATTGATCGCTGTTTGCCCCCGGGTCTCACACGCAGAGCTGGGGTCAGCGCTCACCCGTCCTGCAGGGCATCGCTGCACAACTGCAGAGGCTGCAGCACGACCCCAAAATGCACATGATCAGGATATATAACCAAGAAGAAGAGACGCTTCTTATTCTTTAATGGGAGTTTAAACGAAGGACAGCAATGGTGCATTTACAGGGTAAAGTTTCGCTGTAGCTGGTGCCTGGCTAAACACACCATGAATGGGACTTTGTGCATCCTTCGCTTTCCTTAAGCTTGGTGGCTTCTTAATAGGGCACACATATTGCACTGAAAAAACACAACATCTTAACAAGTCTCGAGTTTCTAGAGCAAATGTCTGCAGAGCTTGTGGTGTTGGTTGATGCACTTCTACGCTAAAAATGCAGGAAATTCTCAGCAAAATTAGATTTTCTTATCATTTGAAATGCAGATTTGAACCTCTCACTAGCATGCCTCGTTTATAGTTCATATTTTCTATTTTTGAACATTTTTAATAAAATAATTACATTTTTGTTGTAAGTTTACAGCATTTTAACATAATGGGTAATTAATTTGGCTTCATTTTGCTTCAAATATGCAAAAACACAAAATCTAACCAAGTGAGATATGACACATCAAACTTGTGGAACTTATTTTAAGTTAATAATTATTTAATATTGATGAAAAAGTTTTAGTTACACTGATTATGTCACTTATAATATGAGAAAAATGTTTAGTTATAAGTGAAATAATCTGTCAGTGGAACTTGAACTTTTTAATTGATTTAAAACAATATTTTAATAAAATGCTACTTTAACTTAAGTTAGTTTTGTCTTATTTCAGGTGTACACAGATATTTGCACCACTAACTAGACCAGAAATATGTGGTAAGAGTTTGTGTTTTTGCATGAGAATCTTGCAGTCAGATTCAAATGGTGCATAAATGGAAGATGCTGCTAAGACGGCGTTTCTCATCAGGTGCCAGAGCAAACAGTCACCAGCTTCCTTTCTGCTGTCAGTATGTGCTTCTAAAAACAACAGAACAGAAATCATTTCTCTTTCTGCAGAGAGGATTCTCATCCCAGGGTTATTTTGCACTTAAGTTCTGGGGGGTTTTGTATTTGAGATGCAAAAGAAGAAGAAGACGCGGTGAGAGACAGAAGAAAAAGAAGGAGTAGTAATGGGGGAAGTGGTGCATGTCTTTCCTGCAAATCTCCTCTTTCACCTCTGCTCTCCTCCAGCTCTCCATCAGGCCAGCCAAGAGACACTTCACCTCGCACCCGCGCACACATGGAGCCTGAGCCAACACACATGCATCCTCCAGCATGCGCACACGCACACACACACACACGCACACACACACACCACTGCCATCTGACTGTTGAGCCACCCACTCAGAAAAATAAATGGCAGAAGCGGAGACACGAACGCCTTGACACCAGATGCGCGCACGTATAGACATCCATATGCTTCGTGTGCAACGACCCATCAAAGACAGACATGGAAATAATAACAGTCGAATGTAACCACACACACGTGTGCACACACACACACACGCGCGTTCACTCACTGTGGATAATTCTGCACATATGCATCAAATCACTGCCTTCTGAGGCCAGCTCTGCAGGAAAACAGCAATGCATAAGCAACATGCAGCACTCCTGTACCGAACACTGTAAAACAAGCTGCTCTCATACACACACACACACACACACACACACACACACACACACAC